AGTTATGATGTGGCAGCTATCTCGAAAAACGTATTTCCCAGTACACAAATAAATAAGTTAATTATATGCTCTTATCACGAAAGCATATAACACGTCTCTCACTTTGTATTATAATCTCTCTCTCTCTCTCTCTCTCTCTCTCTCTCTCTCTCTCTCAACTCTTTTCCTCTCTCCCTTCCTGCCCTCTTCTGCAATTCGTGTACATTCGTATGACATTATCACTTTGTTACTCGGTAGTAAGTTCCAAGAATCGATAATGCACGCTATTTTACGCGCAAATCATTTGACTTGCGGAAACAAAGTTGACAATAACATTAAAAACGATATCAATAACGTTAATTAAAAATTTGCGTAGAAAATTATTTATCGTTCTTACCAAGAATATCGTTAGCAGAATATTGCTCAATTTCCTGCTACATACAATAATTATAAAGCATAAGCTGTCCCGCTTTTGAAATAAATAAAATAGATAAGCACATTAATTTCAATATTTCATTTATTTGCAAGTATTATAATATTTTAATTATTCAAAAAGAGATAAAGCATTTTTTATTAACGTTGTATACTATGTCACATTACTTATATGTGTAGTATCTACAATCCTTTTACTTAAAATAAATATTTATTTCGACCCAGTTTCCCCCTATTTAGTTTCCAATTTGTTCATAGGAAAGTGTATATAATAGTGTAAAATATATAACATTCATGCACGCGCCAATTTTGAAACAATACGTTATTTCACGGAAAAATATTGAAACGCCGGAGATATTGACATTTCGTTTCGTGCAAGAAACGCATATCAGGTTCATGGTCATAAATATGCGTTGCGGCAAGCGTAGCGGCGTCGAGCGAGCTTTACGACAGAGCGGAACCTCACCTGTCATTACATTTCAAGGCCGCGTGACTAGGGCTCCTCGGAGGCTGAGGATAGCTAGCGCCGGCCACGGTGAGTTGAGACCCGCTGATCGATTGTTGGCCCCCGGCTTCGGGAGCGGCTTGTAAGGGCGTGCTGGGTGCCGATCGCGCGCCTATGGACCCCGCAGACCTGTGAACAAGATGGAAGATGGGATTTGAGAGAAATTGCAAACAGGCAACTTCTTGAGGAAGAGAGGCTGCTCGACGATTTTCAGAATCTTTCCTCCCTCTCATGCATGTTTTTTCATCTTAAGAAAAAATTAATTATATAAAATTCATCAAAAATATGCCAACAGCATTGATTAAAAAGATAACATAATTGCAAAATTTCAATTTTGCCAGATCTTTTTAGATTTTCTTAGTTTTTCCTATACATTAGAGTGGAAAGATATCAGTTAGTTTTTTTACTCAGTGAATAAAGTATCTAACTAATAAGTTATCTAACAGTAACTGATATGTTATCAAAGAAATTTACACAAGCATCATTTACACGTAGCATCATTTCTAGCGAATAAATATAGTAATCAATGCGAGATTTAAAAATCGATCGATAAAAGTAATATCGCTCCAATTTTTTTAGTTTCACTTCGTTAAAATGTAAAATAAATATTTTGGAAGATTGATTTAATGAAAAATTATACGCATATGTGCTGATGGAAATTTATACATCAATTTTGTCATCAAATATTACATTATACAGTATTAATATTAACTGCTAATTAATAAGATAAAGTCTTAAGTGATTTCTTCTATGATATATTTGTGCGCAGCACAATTCATTAAATAATTCTATTTTTAATTTCAATGTCAAGAGTTTTCATATCGTATTGATCTTCAATTCAGATAAAATATCGATTATTCACTTCTTTTAAAAGTTTATCACTGTCACAAATCACCACGTACCTGGCCCTGGTAATTGGCCGAGTCGAGAAGCAAAGGTTGATCAGTGCCTGGGTTTCGAATTCCATCATCAGGAAAAAAGGCCGGACGTTACGAAATATATTACTGTTACATTATCTCCGAAATAGTATCTGCGAGGTTTCCTTTTCTGAGGCGCAAGAAGACTATCACGCCTTGGATTAAAGGTAGCTTCAACGCCGGTTACCAGTCAATCGGCAATCGATGTGAGCTCCGCGAGCAATCTGCGTGGTTATCAGACGGACCTCGGCAAATGTCGAAGTGAATCTCGATAAAAAATATTATTATCGGAAATTGCACGAACGGGAGGCATGAATCAACGGGATGATTCATCGATATATTTAACTACATAGTTGCAATTTTCCCCCGAACAGCGACTAATGGTGGCTTGTACTGCACTACCATCACATCTGCACGATATGATAACGGTCAATTTTATCTGCTTTTATCTGGCTTATCGCTCAAGTTGAATAATGAGTGCAACCGTGGAAATAATCGAAGTAGTGGGTAGCGATTAATATGTGAAAACAGAAGGGAAATAGTAGCGATTAATATTATTGGGAATCGAATCTAAACGAGTTGGTCGCTCGCCAATTTTAGCGGATGCGAGAAGAGAAAAAGATAAAGGCGAACAATGAGATCAGAGACGAGAGAAAATCGAAAAGGAAAAAGGGAAGTTGCCTGGATGGGATGAAACCAAACGGAGCGAAAAGACGAGGTGACTAACGAACCAGTTTCGGACCTCTCTTCATACCGCGAGAATAACCACACCTAACTACATGGATTGGTTCAACGAGCCAGGCCAGACTGCCTTTAACAAGCGACAGCGATTCGCCGTGACCGTGGCAATGCACAATGAGGCGAGTCAGCGCGGAAAAAGAGGGGCCCTCGTTGAGAACGGAAAACGACCGCAGGTTCCGTTCAGTAAAAACCACGTTCATATCGATACTTCCTGAAGATCCCTCTTTTCGATTGCCGCCACTTAGCGCCCATCGATCGCACGGCCAGTCTTGCGAGGAAGATGATGCTCATCTCGAAGCGGTGATTTCTTCGGTGAAGAGAAGACGAGTATCTGTCTCGCGAGAGCGATCGTACCGAGCCAGCGGTCTGATCCTCTCTCGTCGTGAAGAAGAGTTTAGGAGTCGAGAAGTGTCGATGAAAATGGACGGAAAAATTGCGAAACCGAACACAAGGAACGATGAGAGCCAGAGAAGCTGATGAACTACGTTAGAAACGAGAGAAGTCCACGCGAGTCCGGTACTCCACGGACCAGCCGGGATATCAGACTGGTCGCAGTTGGGTACGCTAAAAGTTTCTTACCCACTCGGCCGACCTTACGACCTTCTTCATAATTGACAAATCCGCGAGTATACACCTGCTTATGTAATGGAAGCTCTATAGCTCGCGCTCTAGAGTACTAGTACTTAAGTTATACAAGGTGCACAGCACTACGTGATCGGATCGAATATCACGTACGTTAAAGCGTGGTCTATAATAAATTGCTAACACAGTCGCAATGCTTCACACGACAGCCAATCAAAAACATCACTAACTATATTGACACTTCTGATTGGCTGTTGCAAAGCATTGCGACTGGCGATGGAGTGTTTGACTTATTGTAGATGCTTAAGACTTAAAAGACACGAAGACAGAAATTGACGCCGAAATCAAAATTCACTGATAGCGAATCATTTAACAGTATAACGTTAAGCGTTGTGATTGTTAAAATGCAGAATAGAAATTATCAATAAAATCTATCTGCAAGAATTGATCAGGTTCGTCTTTAAAAAATTATGCTACTTTTTTCTCTACACGGAAAGGATGATTTTGCTGAAGTATTAAATTAAATACGGATTTAAAATAATATTTTGTCAGACTATCAAAATAATTATGGACGCCTAAAATATACAACATCTAAAAATTGATAATTTGCAAAAATTTTTAACATTCTAGCAGCCAATTTAAGAGTCTTACATAATTATTTTGATGATTCAAACAAAATTATTTTCAGATCCGTATCTAATTAGATTCTTAGATATTTCGACAAGATCATTTTTTTCATGTGCATATAAATATCATTATTATATTAGCAATTATTATGTAAAAGATATTGGAAGAAATTAATTTATATCCAGAAAGATTTTCTAATATTGCATTTAGAAGATATCAAAATTAATGTAAAAAATAATTACTTTAAAAAATTAAAATTGTTTTGTATATTTATAAATTATGCAAATTGTTATGTAATATGTATGCAAATTGATGTTCGCAATTATATATGCAAATAAAAAGATAATCTGTGTTATAAATCAAATGGATTATACTTTAAATTTGCAATAAAAAACAATGATTTATTGTAATTACGATTATGTAAAGCGTAAAAAAAAGGAACATAAAACTTCGCTCCAGTTTACGTCACTACGGATGTTTGAATAAACGTCATTCCGGCAAATTGATGCGTCCGGAAACACACGCTCGAGTTTCCCGAGCAACGCGACACTTCACTGAACAGAAAGAAAGCGCAAAATATTTAGCCGTTTAAGCATTGGTGCCTTTAAACTGGAAAAAGAGTATATATGCGTCAACTCGCATTCTCTGGCAGTCTTCCAAAAGGTCGAAATGCTCTCTCTCATGCTGCATATCAATAAGAGATGGCGAGATGAATGAGAAAACACGTGTTTTAACGTGTTTTCAAGTTTTCCCCACGGTTTAAAAGCGAATACCAGCAATAGCGAAGCAGATCGAACCTATTACTCGTTAAATCGTATTAATAATGATCCCTTAAATACCATAAAGTAAAAATATACGCAGAAAAATGTACGGAAAAATTATATAAATATAACTTTTTATACATAAAAAGGACGATTTTATTGTAATATCTAAAAAGTTAACTAGATACAAATTTGAAAATAATTTTTTGGTTTATTAAAATAATTATGTGTATAGATGTTCAAACTAATTGCTAGAATATCAAAACTTTTTACAACATGCTTAAGATTTCTACGCAATTATTAATAAATATCTAATTAAAAATTTAATTAGATACAATTTGAAAATGATTTTTTATTAAATTATCAAAATAATTCTGTAGAAATCTTAAGCATGTTGTAAAGTTTTATATATATATACATATATAAATACAAAAAGATAAAAGTAAAAACATAAAAGTATGAAAAAATACAGAGATAGATCAAGCAATCAGTATAATTACAGATAATTTTGTATTACAGAAATAACATTAAATCAACGTCGCTACGTAATAGTTCGCCCAATTGAAAGCAAACATGTATGAATAAAAAACACGATATGAAATTAATTGACTTATTAATCACTTAAGTCGCGAGATACGCCATTGATCGCCGATTACTTTAGCGTAATGGCATAAAGTACACGTGCGCAATGCCGACGACGTGCCGGTCTCGGGGAAGTGCAGTTGGGACTATTATTATCTTATACCACGCAGTCACGGATATATAACACAGAATTTGATTATGACCTCATTCTCTCTCTCTCTCTCTTTCTCTCTCTTTCTCTCTCTTTTTATGAGCACAATATCAATAAAACGCGATGCTCACCAACGCGTAGCGTCGTGGCGGCCTGCATTATTAAGATGCGCCAGGTGTTCGTCGATTGCGCGAAGTCTTTCTTGAATTGAAGGCCGCAAAAAGACGTCACGCAACATGACACTTGTACAAAGTTTTGTTTTTGTTGCAGATCCGGAAGAAGTGTCTGAAAGTTACGTCCTGTGCCAGGACACTATGTAACTCGGTGCAACAAATGGAAATGTTTCTAGAAAATCGATTCACACACACGCAACCCAATACACTCGTACATAAAAGTAAACAATTAAATGTTATTAAGAATGAAATAAATGTTGAAGTAAACAATTGTAAATGGAAATCAGACTTAATAAGAATAAATCATTACAAATAAAAAAAGAATCATTTTCAAGCGGATGTTATAATATTCATATGCATATTTATTATTTATTAACATAAAAATTATAGATTTATACACAATCGTAGGATTTTCAAGCGTATCTTAATTTAAGTTAATAAGAGGAAAAATTTTCAGTCGAAGCTTGATGTTTAATAATATTCATAATGCAAATTTGCAAATATATATGTATTCACAAATTTACATATGAATGTTATCAAAATCCGCTTCGAAAATAGAATTCTTTCTTTTATTTAACTTAAGTTAAAATCTCTT